ATGAATGGTTTTACCCTTCCATTGTAATGCAAGGTTGACACCTCGCAACATAGCATCGAGCTCAGCCAAGTTGATGTTCTTGTCTTCGTGCACCGGTCGGAGCCAGCTTGCATCTTCTGCCACGGCACCATTGCTCTCCACAACCACACTGGCTAAGGAGCTTGCATCTACCCACACAGTTACATTTTGCTCACTGATACACCAGTCACCTTTCACTGGGTTAGTCTCTTAAAAATGTCGTCGGTCATCTGGGCTAGAAAAGGGTCCTGCATTTCATCGTCCCATCCAGTGGTAACAGTGTTTGCCCTCCGCTTCACAAATGCCGTGGCGACACATAACCGCATACCGGGAAATGACCAGTCAACTTCCCGCACAGCGAGAAGACAATTTGGTGGGTAAGTTTATCGGGGACTACCGGAAGTTCACATCCACAATATCATCGCAATTTTCCTTGCTCCTCCCAGACATGCAATCCCAACACACGTGTGCCAATTCTTAGCCACTCTGGGGTCTTACTTGACAGACCAAACTGCTCCAAATGTTCCTTGATGTGGACCACAGAACACACACTCTCATTTACAAAAACGTCGTCAATATAAGAGGAGGAGGCTACATTGACGATCTCGTCCTGGCTCAATGATTAAAGGGGCAACATTGAGCCCAAATCCTAAGCAGGTTAGACAATACCTTTGTCCCTTAATCTCCACTGTTTGGAATGGCCAAAGGGACTTGTCGATGTGTACCTGCAGATAGGCCTGGTGTAGGTCCAGCACTGCAGCATTTGGTCCTTGCTGACGCCATTCCTGTAATTTTTGAGATCAAACATCTGCGTTGGCCGCGTATGTGTCAATGTACTCATTGAGTTCTCGATAGTCCATAACGGGCCGAACCTTCTGTTTGTTTTCCTGCAGAATGTCCATGAGGGGGATAAACCCTTTGGGGGTCCAAGCTCCTCCTCCGGGTAAGGAAGCAGCCAGCCGTTATCTATACACATCTGGAGTTCCCGATCATACTCCTCCCAAATTTGTGCAGGAACTGGATATTCTGCCAGTCTATTTCTTAACGTACCTGGAGGTTGGTTGCCAGCCCATTTCCAAGATGTGATCTCATCGTATTCTACTTTAAAGTCGGGCTCGGTAATGGTAATGGTGATGGCAGCAACGACTGGTTCGACACACTGCGGAAACTTTACCTCACCGGCGCCAGTTACAGATATTCCTCCCAACTGTTTGATGGCATCTAGTCCGAGCAGCAAGTCAAATCCAAGCAGGTCTCCATCCATGACTAGGACTTCCATAGCGATGGATGGCTTTGCACCAACGCTAACTTGTACCACACCAATTCCACAGCAGTCAGGTGCATCTCCATCTGCTGTAAGCACAAGGGTTTTGGGGAGGAGATTGGCGCTGAATTCTCGCCCCCTTGCTCGTTTCCTGGACAACACTGAGCAATGCGCCCTTGCCGATGACACTGATAGCAAGTGATGGTCTATCAGTGCTTGGTACCAGCACCTTTGGATGGTTCACGACCCAGGAGACAATCGCTTGCCCTATGATTGGGTCCATCACATTTATAGCACCTCGTGTGCACATTTGTTTCCTTCAGCTGTGCAGCCACTGCAGCCTGCTCTGTAGAACCAGTGCACTGCTCGTGCCAGCACATGTGACAAATCCAGGTCTTTCATCAGGGATGACGCTCTTAAAAGCTCCTCTGCATGCTCAGGCAATCCAGCAACGAATGCACGCTGCAAACACTTTTCTGATATGCCACCAAACAGAACCGCGAGTCTGTGCAGTTCTGCCAAAAAGACATCAACCGTCTCCCCTGGCTGAAGGCAACATGCTGCAAACTGCTTCCATGCAGAGAAGGGTCTAAGGCGAAGACTGTGTATAACGCTTTCTTAACGCAATTGAAGTCTGCGCGCTTCTCCTCACTCAATTGCTGGTACACAGCATATGCGCCACCTTCCAAATGCATTGGGATGACACACTCAATTCGCTTCACACCGCTCAACTGACATATCAGTTCTGCCTTCTCCAACCATTCCACTACCGACTGTCCAGAATCACTTCCGTCGAACAGTGGTATCAGCTTTGGGTTGAAGGCCATAATACCAAAATAGCTTGTAAGAAAACAAGAATTAGGGGAAAAAAAAAAAGCTCCTTCTTGCAAACCTGAAATGAATGCCTTCTTGCGAACCTGAAACGAATGCACGACTCTTCCGAACGAACACTTTATGACAGCAAACGGCACCCATGACTGCTGCTGATGAACGGACAACCGGCCACAACAGCTTTTGTTGCCCAAAAACTCCCAAATGACCCGCGCGTCTTCTTCTTGTAGTCCTCGGTCGAGTCCATTATTGTACTCTAAGGTGTGCCCTGCGAAAACACACACATGCAGTTCAAGGACGCTTCCGTGCATGCTCGTTACATATATAACCTTAGTGTTTTTCACTTTACAGTTAAAAAACTTTCAGATGAACACAATTTGTTTAGAAAAAACCAACACATTAATGATGACATTGTGCTAATGCCAAAAGTACTCAGAATAAATGAATATGTATCAACATGGTAATTTTCTCTCTTCCTTTAATAAGGATAATAAGAAGCTTGTCCATGAATATGAGAGGATCCTATTGAAAATAAGTAGACAAAACTTATCTAGATTATCGAATGAGATGTCTTTTATATATACACACACATGCACAAAAATCCAATAAGTCTGATACTAGTGCTGGTCATATATTGAAATAATAAATATGTTATTTCATGGAAATTTTTTTTTTTTTTAACTGGGGCATTTTAATGCCTCCAAAATAAAACTGCTCTCTATTAATCATCTAAGAGAACTCTTTCTGCCTTCCATCAGTATGACTAATGCTAACCTCCAGGAGAGTGACTCATCATCCCTTCTCAGGCTAATGTTTTCTGCTCACATGAAGTGGAAAGATTATATTGAATCAATTGCTACGTCTGCTGCTAGGAAAGTTGGTTCACTGTTTTGTGCTACAAATTTTTTTCATCTGAATCTATCTTACATATTTATAAATCTACCTTTCATTGAATATTGCTGCCACATATGGTCTCATTTAGTTTCTTGATAAAATCCAAAGAAGAATCTGCAATGTTATTGGTCCTGACCAGGCATCTCACCTTCAGTCACTTTCTTACTACTGTAATGTAACTTCCCTGTGCCTTTTCTATAAGTAATTTCATAGTAATTGTTCTGCTGAACTTTCCTCCATGCTACCTAGACTCAATGAATTAAGTGAAGTACTAAATTGGTAGCAAGTTCTCATCACTTTACAGTTGAAATGGTGAGGCATAACTATAAGTTCTATGCTAACAGTTTCTTTTCTCACACTTCTTACTTTTGCAATAGCTTTGATTTTCAAAAATTTAAATATAATGATTATCATTATTTTCGGTCTTTTTAATTCCTGTTCTTTTATTGTTCTTGCACTGTAATAATATTTTTATTTTTTTTATATTCTTTCACAATCGGTAAACCCCTGGGTTTTAGTGGCTTTTTTGCTTTGCTTGGGGTGAAATGATTTAAAAATGTTAAAACATTAATGCAAGTAAAAGACTACTATCAGATTAAAATTTTATTTATTTCTCATAATGCCATATCTTTTTATGATGTAGATGATCATGGCTCTCCACAAATCTTTTATTTTATTATCTGTGAATCACAATTCTTAGGAAAGGTAGTGGTGTACTTTTTTATTGCCTTGTCTATAGTTTTGAATTATCTTTCTTCTAAACTGGCTGTTAACTGAGTCTAGAGATTCCAAGATTAGTATAGGAAATTTTAGTGTCTTTTTTGTGGTGAAAAACACATTGAACAAAATCTTTTCTTGAATTCATTGTTGTTTTGGCATACTGCATTGATCATGTAAAGTTTTTTTATGATAATAATTGAGCTTCATATGGACATCACATGCATTCTGTTGCTTATTCATTGTTTACTATAATTTTTCCTTGTGTGTGTATTAGCAAAATTTATTATAATGATATAAGACCAGTATAGAATGTTAATTGTTGACAAAAATATTGAAAATAAAATGGATAAAAGAAAATATCAATCTTTAATGTCCCATAGGAGTAGCAATACTGGAATTAAAGGATATCTACAATTGTTATCCTCTTTTAATTGATCTTTCAATACATTCTAGTTAGATACTGACATGACAAAAGTTACCACAATGTGTCATTATTGTTAAAGATTTTCTTCAGTTATTGTTGTTTGTCATCTTTCTTATTTACTCTCTTACATCTGCATGTTATGCAATAATTTTCTTCTTATTTTTTGTTTTACTACTTTTATTTTATTCTAACATGTCCCATTAAAATCTCATTTAAATGTTTCATATAATTAGTGACAAATTGCTTTTCATACATTAAGTAATTTATTATTAATTACCTCTAATGTAGCAATATATCTCTTTCCTTTTCTTTTTTACAAATATAGTTATAATTATTTCTTAAATATTTGTAAAAAGAAAAATTAACTCAGAAAATTGATCTTGTTTTATGGTATTTAATTTTCATAGAATAATTGATTTATTATTTATATTTGCAAATTGTTGACTAGTTAAGCTCTGTATGGCATGGTGCAGCTAACTAGCTAGCAAAGCAGCTGATTATTAAGATCATCATATAACATTGCTGTTTCATCAAAAGTACATTGTATGGCTGTAATAATTGTTACTTTTTTTTAATCCTTTATTATTGCTGTAGCTTGTTAAATTTGATTGTAAGCATTGTCACTTTTAACAAGACTAGGCAAATAGATCACTGTTTCTTTTATCTGTTGCAGTGAGTTATGAATTCAAAGAAAATTGGTTTGAAGTATGATAAAGTATATTGTTTTTTTTTTTTGTCATTCTTAGCCATAAAAGAATTCATGAAATTCCAATCTGCTATTTTTTTAAAATTTCATCTAATTCTACAAATTCATGTATATTTAACATGTATCAATTTTTTTTCTTCTAGTTAGAGGTTGTAGAAGTAGCTCTTGATCAGTCAGGACCATCAAATGAAAGACGACTTGCAATTGTCGATAAAAACAGAGACCTTTACCTTACTACAGTAAGGGTTTTTGGAAAAGGCTGCAAATTTTTGAAATTAGGTAAAATATAAAATTTTATATTTTGTCCTCTTGTTTTGTCAATTTGTAAAACTGTAAATTGTGTATCAGAAAAGCTGAATTAACATTCAAAATTAGATTTAAATTACAATTTATATTCTATAAGCTTCATAAATTTTTAAATCCAGCAAGAATAAATTTTATATACAAAAGGAAAACACTTCTGTGTTTCAGGTCAGAAAACAGAATTATAAAAAAAATACTATATTTCACTGTAACAGAAGTGTTAGAATTTTTCAGCAAGTTCTTTTGTAGCTTTTATTTCATTTACACACACAACATTTTTATTTTGTAGAATTCCAATAGAATTTTAAAATTCTAAAAAGTCTGATGTTGATGATCTTTTTTATTATTATTATATCATTTTGACAAGGCAATAAAAACCACTAGGATGCAAGGAATTACTAAGAGTGGAAAAAACCAATATGGCAAAAGAACAGGATTCAAGAAAACAGAAGATGACAATAGACATTGCATTTAAATTTTTGAAGATCAAAGCTGACAGGAGAGCAAGAAGTCAGAAAAGTGTTCCACAAGAGAGAAGTGTGGGCAAAGAAATGATTAGCATAGAACTTATAGTTACATCTAGCAATTTCAACTAAAATTATAATATCTAGTTGTCAATCTAATAATGCACTTAAATTTGTGAAGTCTAGTTACCACAGAGGAAGTCTCATCAGAACAATTAAGAAAATATTTATAGAAAAAAGAATAGGGATGCTATGTTACAGCAGTGGGGCAGTGACTGAAGCCAAGATGTCAGGTCAGGACTGATGATGTCACAGATTCTTCTTTGGATTTTATCAAGTTTTTCTTTACATAGAATGAGAAGCACCAAACCAGATGTAGAAGCAATATTCAATGCACAGGAAAATGGTAGATTTATAAATGTGAAAGACAGACAATTTTTCTCACAAGAATCATTCCACTCTATGACAATGAAAAATATGCTGATGGAAGGCAAAAAAATTTGAATCATTTTACTTTTATTTTGAAAATTGTTCTTTGTTATAAATGAACAATTGGTATTTACCAGCATTAATGTTAATCGTTGACATATCTTTTCAAACCAGTCATAATGGGAATACACAGTAATGTATATTAAGTATTTTATGCAGCTTTATGTTAAATATAACTAAAAATGTTTAAATATTAAAAAATATGATAATAACTGTTAAGATTAATTTAATTTTTTCTGAGTAATGTGACTGATACACTGATAAGTTGAAATATTACAAAATTTTAAAATTTGTTTGGAATATCATGTCTTCTAATATAATTTTTTAAAATCTAAGTATGTTACTAATTACAGGTTATTTCTTTTTGAGGATTTTTGTTGACATGTGCATCAGTGGCCAACTTGTGATACTGACCTATTATTGGAAAATGTTAAAATTTCTGAGACAAATTATCCTTATTAATCTATTCAGAATGTAATTTTCATCTCACTTGTTATAGTCACAATGTTTCAAGGACACATGGCACAGTGGATAAAGGTGTTAGTTAGATCCAGTGACAGGACCCAAACCTGAAGTGTGAGGTTCAATAACTGATGGTCCATTAAGTCTGGAGAAACTTGGAGAGGTGAATTAACCACCTGGAGATATAATGGCTGATACCTGACATCCATTAAATAGTTTTTTCAACATTATACTCTCCAGCCTTCTTCCAGGAGCTAGAATTTGAAATCAAGTCTTTTATTCACACCTCATTCTTCTGTCTGTGCTAAAGAATATATTGTACTAGATAATAATTCTTTTGGATGCTTTTTTTCAGTTCAACATTCTTCCAAACCACCAAACCTCAGAACTAGATGCAGGCTGGCCATTATCCTATAATGGCCAAAGAATTAAAACATAATGTCTGTTGCAGTATTATTTTTTATAAATGAAACATTGACAACAAAGATTTCAGATTTAGTTGCTCTTTATTGTAACTTTACTCAGGCTGTCAATTTGTGGCAACAATGTAAATAAAGTTTTTTTTGAACTGTTTTTGCCTTGGGAGTCTAGTGAATATCCAGCTGCTTTAACCACTAAACTACAAGAACTTGATGGTTTTATTGTGTCTTATTTAACAATTTTTGGTATTTTACTGCAAATTTGAAATCAAGTCAGTTTTATTCAGGATATCACAATAAGCAATATAATATTACAAATAGAGAGAAATAAATTGGGGAATCTTAAATTCTAGATTTCTTTTTCATTAACAATTGTTTCATATAAAGAATATATTGTATATCAAGAATAGATAATAATTCTTTTTTGATGTATGCTTTATTGAATTAGTTTTTTCTTTTTCATATATATTGTTGTTTTTCCATTAAACAGTTAGTGATGGACTACTTAGACAGTATATTACCCCTCCTTGTTTCTCTTAATCTTTAATAGTGTCAGTCTTTGTTACCCACTGTTGTAATCATATTTGAATGAGGGGGTTGGAAATGACTTTATAACATCAACAAAATACAATACTCATCAGCGGTGTGAAGTTCCACTGTTAGTGATGGACTATTAGACAGTATATAACATCTACCAACATATTTATAGGCATTCCATTAGTGTTCATATTTTATATAACATCTAATAATAGGCTTTCATTGTTTCACTTTTTATAATTTTGTTTCTGTAATTTGAACAGAACTGAAAATTATTGGCACTGACTTCAAAGTACTAAATAGTAATTAAGTATTTATATGAGGTTTGGTAATTATTTTATTTTTCTTAATATATGGTATAGAAAGAAATACCTGAATTAATCATTTTATTGTACATAGATTACACTGGGGAACATTTTCAAAAATATTTTTAGTTGTCTTCCTTTTTACAATTGTTCCTATCCACTTTGATGGTGCTGAATTCAGAAATGCCCTCAGAAATTTTCTATTATGTCACGTTTTTTTTTACTAAGCAGGAATTCATTTTTTACCAATAAATGTCAGTTTTGCCATTAAATGCAATGTAGAAATAAGAAACTCAACACAAATCAAATAGTACTTTTTATTGTTTAACAAATATATTACACAAAATGTTTAATTACATGTCTTAGGATAGATATTTCTGTCAAACAGGAATTTCAGCTACTCAAGGAGTGAACCTTTTCTTTGCTGTTTTGTCTGAATAACTTCATCACAACAGTCTCTTTTGCAGATACCAGCAGTAGTCAGATATCATGTTTGTATTCCATATGTCTTGACACCTAGATTCCATGGTCTTGATGTCTTGGTGGAATCTTGTTCATTAGTCATTGCATCAAGATTTTAAGGGAAGTAGTCCAGATAACTGTGTGGAAAATGCACTTTTTCACTCATATTGCAGCCCAGTGCTTGAAAACTGGTTAACAGGATCTGTACGAGTTCTTCATAATTTGATAACTTCCTATTTCCCAGGAATCAGACACAACCACAGCAAAAGCATTTCATGATTCTTTTTCAACGCTAGACATGGTCTCCAAAAACTGCTCATCCTGTAATAACCAGCAAATCTGTGGCACGTCAAACACACTAGCCTTAATTTCTTACAAGACAATGCTAAAACTTATTGCTTAAGTATTTAAAACAGTCACCCTCCTGGTCCAAGACTTTCACAAACGGCTTCAATAGGGGAAGCAAAACTTTCCTGGAATTAACAAGCAACCTGTTTATTCTTCTCTCCAATTTTGAACTCCCTTCCGTCTTGCCATGTCTTTCCAATGGTCACTTTTTGCTTGACTCCCAAAGATACAAAATGCAAAGATGCTTGGTATAACTACCTTATAGATAAGAAGCAATCCAAAGTCTTCACACCTCATTTTTTTTCAAGCACTATTGTTGTAGTTTTCCTTTAGTGTTAAGGAATATCCAATTGGTACAGAAGCAAATATATTGCCTGTATGCAGCAGGAAAAACTTAGTTTTTGAGCTATGAAAAACCTCCAGTCTTCTTCAACATGTTTTACACATTATATGGGGTGCACAAACTTTGTTTTGATCACCCAGTTTCATGTCAAAGTAAGTAATGTTAACTATGTTGACTCTTGTGGTCCTACCAAGGATTGAGCTCACTATACTTGGCTAACAAATTTCTGAAGATATTAAACTCTTGCTCCTTAACTTATTGGATGTGTTCTAAGCAGTGGCAATAGCAGACTTGTCTCCCTTCCCACAAAAGTGTATTCAACCTTTAGGCATTATTTAAGTTTGCTGAAATTTCTTCAATGTCTGGTGAAGTGTTGTCAGTTTATTGATCAAGATTATATTATAAGCTTTCTTTAAAAAATCTGGAATTTTATTTCATTACCTAGCTAAAGTGCAATATCCACAAATATAGCCAAAAGATATCAGGTCTATTTTTGTATTTTCTTCTCTCACTTCACAATTACAACATTAAGAGTACCTTCAAAATAAAAAAAATTCATAATAGATAATTATAGGTTCAAAAAACATATCTCATCTGGTTTGCAATGATAGTCAGACTATATCAAGCACAGCATAGGCATATCTGCAGACAAATACAGAAAATTCCACAAATATAAAACCTGTATGGTATCAAGGACTACAAAAATGTGTTGTTTATTAACATTTAATTGTGTAAAGGACATTTCTATCATCATCAGGATATTTAAAACTGGTTAGATTGTAAATAGTGAAAGTTGCTCAACTTTTATTTTTTATTTACTGAAGATACTTGTATCATGACTTTTATTTTCACTTTTGTAGTTGCATTTACTTTAAATGACATGGAAAAACTATGCTTTCAAATTTATGTCAAGCTCCATGCATAACATCCTTAGAAATGGTGACAATACTGGTAATGTTAAAAAATGGACATTAGAGTTTGTAAAACATTTTGATGTGATAGAGCAAAATGGATTTCATTTTTTAAATCCATCCCAAAATTACTAGGAAACATGTCTTTGAAACCAGGCAGCAAAAATCATGTTCTCCAGTGTTATCATTGTTTAAGAACATATTGCTTAATTACTCATTTTGCTCAGCTCAAAACT